GTGTGACGGAGCACTGAGTGTGTCTCATGGTTGAGAGACATGACATGTTGTGTGTGACGGAGCACTGAGTGTGTCTCATGGCTGAGAGACATGACATGTTGTGTGTGACGGAGCACTGAGTGTGTCTCATGGCTGAGAGACATGACATGTTGTGTGTGACGGAGCACTGAGTGTGTCTCATGGCTGAGAGACATGACATGTTGTGTGTGACGGAGCACTGAGTGTGTCTCATGGCTGAGAGACATGACATGTGTGTGACGGAGCACTGAGTGTGTCTCATGGCTGAGAGACATGACATGTGTGTGACGGAGCACTGAGTGTGTCTCATGGCTGAGAGACATGACATGTTGTGTGTGACGGAGCACTGAGTGTCTCATGGTTGAGAGACATGACATGTTGTGTGTGACGGAGCACTGAGTGTGTCTCATGGCTGAGAGACATGACATGTTGTGTGTGACGGAGCAATGAGTGTGTCTCATGGCTGAGAGACATGACATGTGTGTGACGGAGCACTGAGTGTGTCTTATGGCTGAGAGACATGACATGTTGTGTGTGACGGAGCACTGAGTGTGTCTCATGGCTGAGAGACATGACATGTTGTGTGTGACGGAGCACTGAGTGTGTCTCATGGCTGAGAGACATGACATGTTGTGTTGACGGAGCACTGAGTGTGTCTCATGGCTGAGAGACATGACATGTTGTGTGTGACGGAGCACTGAGTGTGTCTCATGGCTGAGAGACATGACATGTTTGTGTTGTGATGGAGCACTGAGTGTGTCTCATGGCTGAGAGACATGACATGTTGTGTGTGACGGAGCACTGAGTGTGTCTCATGGCTGAGAGACATGACATGTTTGTGTGTGACGGAGCACTGAGTGTGTCTCATGGCTGAGAGACATGACATGTTGTGTGTGACGGAGCACTGAGTGTGTCTCATGGCTGAGAGACATGACATGTTGTGTGTGACGGAGCACTGAGTGTGTCTCATGGCTGAGAGACATGACATGTTGTGTGTGACGGAGCACTGAGTGTGTCTCATGGCTGAGAGACATGACATGTTGTGGGGTGACGGAGCACTGAGTGTGTCTCATGGCTGAGAGACATGACATGTTGTGTGTGACGGAGCACTGAGTGTGTTCTCATGGCTGAGAGACATGACATGTTGTGTGTGACGGAGCACTGAGTGTGTCTAAATGGTTGAGAGACATGACATGTTGTGTGTGACGGAGCACTGAGTGTGTCTCCATGGCTGAGAGACATGACATGTTGTGTGTGACGGAGCACTGAGTGTGTCTCATGGCTGAGAGACATGACATGTTGTGTGTGACGGAGCACTGAGTGTGTCTCATGGCTGAGAGACATGACATGTTGTGTGTGACGGAGCACTGAGTGTGTCTCATGCTGAGAGACATGACATTTTTGTGTGTGACGGAGCACTGAGTGTGTCTCATGGCTGAGAGACATGACATGTTTGTGTGTGACGGAGCACTGAATTGGTCTCATGTGGCTGAGAGACATGACATGTTGTGTGTGACGGAGCACTGAGTGTGTCTCATGGCTGAGAGACATGACATGTGTGTGACGGAGCACTGAGGGGGTGTCTCATGGCTGAGAGACATGACATGTTGTGTGTGACGGAGCACTGAGTGTGTCTCATGGCTGAGAGACATGACATGTTGTTTTGTGACGGAGCACTGAGTGTGTCTCATGGCTGAGAGACATGACATGTTGTGTGTAAACGGAGCACTGAGTGTGTCTCATGGCTGAGAGAAAATGACATGTTGTGTGTGACGGAGCACTGAGTGTGTCTCATGGCTGAGAGACATGACATGTTGTGTGTGACGGAGCACTGAGTGTGTATCATGGCTGAGAGACATGAACATGTTGTGTGTGACGGAACACTGAGTTTTGGTCTCATGGCTGAGAGACATGACATGTTGTGTTGACGGAGCCCCTGAGTGTGTCTCATGGCTGAGAGACATGACATGTTGTGTGTGACGGAGCACTGAGTGTGTCTCATGGCTGAGAGACATGACATGTGTGTGACGGAGCACTGAGTGTGTCCCCAATTGCTGAGAGACATGACATGTTTGTGTGTGACGGAGCACTGAGTGTGTCTCATGGCTGAGAGACATGACATTTTTTGTGTGTGACGGAGCACTGAGTTTGTCTCATGGTTGAGAGACATGACATGTGTGTGTGACGGAGCACTAAGTGTGTCTCATGGTTGAGAGACATGACATGTTGTGTGTGACGGAGCACTGAGTGTGTCTCATGGTTGAGAGACATGACATGTTGTGTGTGACGGAGCACTGAGTGTGTCTCATGGTTGAGAGACATGACATGTTGTGTGTGACGGAGCAGTGAGTGTGTCTCAGGGCGTCTGCCTCTAGCCTAACAATGTTCCCTCAGTTCACTTCATCAATAAAATCGCAAGAACACGATTGCAAACAAACCACGGAACCGGTGGGGTTTGAACTTCGTGGTTTGAACCCTCTGGCCTGGAGTTTCACTACTTATTAGCCATGGGTGCAAATCCCACCCGTTCCGTGGTTTGGTGTTTCTGCTCTCTCGTGTTTATATTGGCAGACGAGTGACTGTCTTCAATACTGTGCCGATACTGCAACAGACACTGCAACACAGACACTCTAACACAGACACTACAACACAGACACTGCAACACAGACACTGTAACACAGACACTACAACACAGACACTGCAACACAGACACTGTAACACAGACACTACAACATAGACACTGCAACACAGACACTGTAAACACAGACACTAAAACACAGACACTGCAACACAGACACTGCAGCACAGACACTGCAACACAGACACTGCAACACAGACACTGCAACACAGACACTGCAGCACAGACACTGCAACACAGACACTGCAACACAGACACTGCAACACAGACACTGCAGCACAGACACTACAACACAGACACTGCAACACAGACACTGTAACACAGACACTACAACACAGACACTGCAACACAGACACTGCAACACAGACACTGCAACACAGACACTGCAGGGACAGACACTACAACACAGACACTGCAACACAGACACTGTAACACAGACACTTCAACACAGACACTACAACACAGACACTGCAACACAGACACTGCAGCACAGACACTACAACACAGACACTGCAACACTGACACTTCAACACAGACACTGCAACAGAGACACTACAACACAGACTCTGCAACACAGACACTTCAACAGAGACACAGCAACAGAGACACAGCAACACAGACACTGCAACACAGACACTGCAACACAGACACTGATACACAGACACTGCAACACAGACACTGCAACACAGACACTGCAACACAGACACTGCAACACAGACACTGCAACACAGACACTGTAACACAGACACAGCAACACAGACACTGCAACACAGACACAGCAACACAGACACTGCAACACAGACACTGCAACATAGACACTGCAACACAGACACTGCAACACAGACACAGCAACACAGACACTGCAACACAGACACTGCAACACAGACACTGCAACACAGACACAGCAACACAGACACTGCAACACAGACACTGCAACACAGACACTGATACACAGACACTGCAACACAGACACTGCAACACAGACACTGCAAACACAGACACTGCAACACAGACACTGCAACACAGACACTGCAACACAGACACTGCAACACAGACACAGCAACACAGACACAGCAACACAGACACTGCAACACAGACACTGGAACACAGACACTGCAACACAGACACAGCAACACAGACACAGCAACACACACACTGCAACACAGACACTGCAACAAAAACACTGCAACACAGACACTGCAACACAGACACTGCAACACAGACACTGCAACACAGACACTGCAACACAGACACTGCAACACAGACAATGCAACACAGACACTCCAACACAGACACTCCAACACAGACACTGCAACACAGACACTGCAACACAGACACTGCAACACAGACACTGCAACACAGACACTGCAACACAGACACTACAACACAGACACTGCAACACAGACACTGCAACACAGACACTGCAACACAGACACTGCAACACAGACACTGCAACACAGACACTGCAACACAGACACTGCAACACAGACACTTCAACACAGACACTACAACACAGACACTACAACACAGACACTGCAACACAGACACTACAACACAGACACTACAACACAGACACTGCAACACAGACACTACAACACAGA